CGTATATTCGCTATTTATTTTTGTTATGTTTTATTATGATATTTATATTCAGTGTTACAGATTATATTATAAGATTCGTTTCTGTTGAATTATATGTATTATTGGGTAGTGTAATATTAAGTATAATTTCTCTCTTGGGAGTTCAGAATATGTTTGGTATATTACCCATTTTGTGCATATAATTTTTTTTTATTTTCTTTTTCAACTAAATATTTGCAAAAATCAGATTCTGCTCATCTTACATTGGAATTATCTAATTTACAATATATGTGATCTTATCAAAACGCTCTGTCTAACCAACGATGGAGGAATTGCTGAGAACCATTCCCTGTGTCAAGAGTCCACCTCCCACACATCCGAACTTCATGGATTTGGCGGGGGTTCTTGGCGCTAATGTCCTCTCCGCTATGCCACACAAGTATCCGGGGGCCCCCCCCAGATGTGAGTGTGGCATCTTTGGTGCGATTTTTTTTTTTTTTTTTCTCCTGCTTGATTTTGGGGATCTGTTAGAAAGGATCATTTGCAATTATTAGATGAATCTCATTTTGTATGATGTGGACAAGAAAGAGGAATTAGTTTTCAGTTTTCTGCTAGGTAAATAGATCCTAAACTTATTTCTTTTATCTATAGTGTAAAATTGATATTAAAAGAGTTCAACATTACTCATTTTATAGTATGATGAAATGATACAAACAAGATTAGGGAAAGGATAATATAAAGAAGAATAAAATGGAAATGATTAAAAAGGCTAAACATAGCATAGGGTACAGTGGCTTCTATACTGCATTATTTTTTGTTTCTATCTTCATTACTTCTTCCCTGTCGTTCCCAGGTTGATGCCTGGTTCTCATTCAGCTCGTAAACCCAACGGCCCGGATGGATTGGAATGGGGGACAGAAGCTCATACAATCGTGACCCTCCGCTCTGGAACAAGGACGAGGGCCACTGTTGACTACCTCCTCGGCACAATTTCGGTAGAGAAGAGTTTAACTTCGGATTTTTGGGATGGCGTGGGTGTTTGGGGAGGGCTTGAATGGGGTTTCTAGTTTACTGTTTTGTGTTTTTCTCTTCTTTTAATTCGTTTGTTTATTGGTGGAATAGATATTTGTGTCTTTTTTTGTTTGTTGTTGTGTTTGTTGTTATTAAGTGGTCATATTTTCTTTGATTCAGTGCAGGGTAAAAAAAGCATATTATTTTCTTGTGTGCAGACCTCAAGCTAAATTGAATGTATAACAGGTTAATCATGATATTAGCATTGAAACTAGTGTTTCAATATTTTGATCAGATTTTTTTTTTTTTTTTTTTTTTTTCATATATATATTTTTATATTTTCAATTGGTCCAGAATTCAGTCTTGTTATTATTTATCTATTTTTATTATTTTCTTCTAGTTTTCCTTAACCTTTCTCCCGTTTTAGTTTTACTCTCCTTCCCTGTCTTTTATACTTTCCTTCATTATTTATCAATGAATTTTTATGATCATCATTTCTTCTATAAATAGGAAAGTTGAGGAATGCAACCAAGATCTGTGACAGTGTACAGGCAACACTTTGAGAAGGCTGAATGGCTACAAACCTCGGCTATGCTCGTTGACTCATACATGCGCCCGGACTGACCTCAAATTGTGCGTGAGCTGGACCCCAACAAGAAGAAGGTATTGAACATTGTTAGGCATTCATTGTTTACAGCGTTGAGTCAAAGAACAGTCATTTGGTTGGGGGTAGCCTGGATCCTCGAATGATATTGGGGAGGTTATTGGTTCAGTAAGTGGACATCACTCTGCATTTTACTGCAGTGATTTTTTTACTGCGGTGATTTTTAGCCTTCCCTTTCCCCTGGATTATTTTGTTGTAAGTAAACAATGATTTTTCCCATCTTTTCAGCAAGTGTGATAGATTTGCTATTAAAGTCTAATTTTGGTATGATTTGTTTTGAGTCAAGGAAAAAAAATAGTGTTTGTATGTTAAAAAAAATATTATGATGATTATATCATTAATTATAGTACCATTGATAATGGTAATGATAGTATTAGAAATAACTTTTTTTATAGAAATTCACGGGAGGGGGATATGCAGGTGAGGTCAGTCAGTAGAATAATTGTAGACACTTGATGAATAAGCTTGTGAAGCCCTCTAATGTGAAACAAATTGACAAAATCCAAGGGTGTAGGGACAGTGCGTGTACTTGGCATCAGTGAGTTAAATCTTCAAATTGCCTTCTCATATACTCACAGGCTTTTTAAGATCAAAACTATTTTGTGTGTTGCGTTCATGGTGTAAGTCATAAACTTTTATCTGATTTGACTGTGGTTTATATTAACATTCCACATAGGAAGAGGAATTTTTATAGTACAGGCTAACTGTGTCTGATATTTAAATAGTTAAAGTCATATGTAATTCCTTCTATTCTACAACACTGACCATTATTCCAGGATGTGCGAATGATCATGACCCAAGTGGTTGACATCACCGGCCAACCACTCTCCCCATGTGACGATACAGTCACCTTCAATGGAAGACTTGACCCCACTTTGTCTAATGGATGAAGGTTAATTTGTGTTTTTTTTTTTTTTTTTTGTTTTTTCAATGGTTTTGGTTGTGTTTGTTCAGTTTGAGAGGGCATGTATATTTCGCTTTTCTTAATAACACTGAGAGGGGAATATCACTTGTATATTTTCTTATGTATTACATGAATGTGTTAGTATAGATTTATATATATATGCAATTTTTTCTATTACAAAAAAAAAAAATGAGGTAAGGAAGAATTGGCCTAATTTATATGCTTTGACAAAAATCCCATCTGAGACTTAGTCCTGATAATACCTGGATAAGCACAGCAAACACTGTCGAACAGTATCTTTCTCCCTCCCTCACAAAGAATGGAATCGCCATCGAAATGCTATCAAGTAAGTGTGTCTTATCCTACTGTTGTCACTTCCAGAAGATTCAAGACTGTGGACTGGTGATTGATGAGGCCACAGGGAAAGTGGTGGAAGCTTCGAACTCTCCCTCCAGGGTCAAGGCTCTGGTAAGTGAGGTGCTAGATAGGGGGAAAGTGATGCCTTAACAGTATAGGAGAGCAGGGCAGGAGGTGTAATGGCATTGTGGGTAATGAGTATAGAGTGTGGGAGCGGTAGAGTGGGGTGGGTGTGTGGGAGTGGGGGGTGTGGGGAGTGGGGTTGTGTGGGAGTGGGTGTGTGGAGTGGTGTGGGGAGTGTGTGTGGGAGTGTGTGTGTGGGAGGGTATGTGTGGTGGGAGTGTGTGTGGGGAGGTGTGTGTGGGAGTGGAGTTTGGGGAGGAGGGGGGGGTGTGTGGGAGTGGGTGGGTGTGTGGATGTGGTCTGTTGTATTGCTGTTGACGATTCTGTTTGGAAGCGTGGATGTCTACTTAGTACGGTGGTCAGGTTGAGTTTGCCTCTGAGTAGTATATTGGTGTGTGGATAAACCAATAATGAATACAAGAGGAAAAAATATCCCATGGCCTGACCAAGAGCATTTCCTGAAAGATGTGAGGATGGAGTTTTGTTAGAAGATAGGGTCTAATAATTTGATGAAGTAAGATTATAAATGTAAGTGTAGGTAGGTGCACAAATTTTTGTGTTGATGTGTGCGTGTCTTGAATTTAAGTGGTTTGTGCACAAAGTACTGATTGTCTCATTTGATTTATTAATGTTTTTTCAAGGGAAAATGCGCAATCATGTTTGTATTGTGAGCTTAAATTTTTATGATAATACCTTTTGGAAGTATATTATAAATTTTTTTACTAAGTCAACATTATAAACAGACGAGGGACAGTAGCAAAGTTTGTAGGATGAGTGATGAAAAATAGGAGTAGGGAAACATTAGTGTATAAAGTTCCATATCAAATTTTGCACTTCTCTTCCTATCTCAGTCTTTAGCTTACCAACTCTGGGCATGAACTTCTCTCATTAACTCAGAGATGCTAGTTTCTTATGTAACATGAAAAAAAAAAACTATCACAGCATTTAATGAAGTTAAAGTTTATGGAACATAAATCCTTTTCTTAATGGAGTGATCAAACTACTGACTCTCTGAGCTTCATTGCTTTATCAGCGGATTTCAGAGCCTTAAACAAATGACTAAATTTTATGCTGATGTCTGTTCTCCGTGCCGCTGTTTGGCTTCAAGGGCCTTTCGGTTCAACGCCTTTCCTCAGAGCATTCAGGATTTACCGGATTCTTTCTATTGTTTTGATATTCTTAAGAGAAGAATTGAGTTTTAGGAAGATATTTAGAAGATAAAAAATTGAACCTTATGTGTGGCAGGTTAATACATCACAAATTTCTGTTTTGATTTTTTAATTCCATTTACATGTGTGGTAAGTATTATTGAACAGGTTAGAAAGGTCTTTTGTTGTGGATGTCATTATCCTATATTATGGACAGATAAGTGATTTCAAAGGATGTTTATTAATGGACATTCAGTAATTTTAGGATCTCATGTGAAATATTATAAATCAGCTTTGTAATGTAATGTTAAGATTTCATGAAAGTTTTGCAAGCTGTTATTGCTAGTGTAGAGATGCCTTTGATAATACATTTCTGATAGATCCAGAGCTAGGTATTCCAATATGGTACATTAAGTAATTTACATGCAGATGAGACATTGTCTATAATTTAGGGAAAATTTACATTTCATACAGTTAGAAAAGAACTTGCTAGTGGTCTGCTAGAAAAGGCAGTAGGAAATATATTTACATTATAGTCACACAACCATGTATACTCTACTATATTCACTTGTCTGCTTACTTACTAAATATCACTGCTACTTTGCTTCCGTGTCTTGTCTTAATTCATTGTGTATGTAAGGAAAATTAAGGTTCCTTGACGGAGAGTTTCGAAGTTTCGATCTCCATGGAATTTGATCTGGAGTCCTAAGAGATGTTTACAGGTTGTTTGTCTAGTTTTGTGTCAAGCAATAGATAGTTTCATTAGATAGATTTTAAATTTCTGTCACAATTTAAAGAGAAAAGAGAGGGTTGGTTGAACCAGGCATGTTTAACTCTCTTTGACTATAATATTTTTATCATAAAAGCTTCATAATGTCCGTCGATGGTAAAGATAGTTTCCCCCTAAACCCCAAGCGGTGAGTGGATCCCGCCGGTCTTCCGCTGTGTCGATTGGAGAAGGTAAATCGTGTTGAACGCATCACACATCATCAAAAAAAAACAAGCTTTGTGTAAGTTTCAGTTTATTTCGGGCAGCATTTGAACTAACCTCATACCTGTCGTGCTGCCTCATACCAAGACTGTTATTATAGCAGTTTTAGTACATGGTTCCCCCCCTCCCTCCCCCCAGGGATAAGATCGAATTTGATGTTTGTTTTAGCAGTTGCTGTTTTCGTTGACTCATTCTAGGACCACAAGAAATGACATTGCTAGTGCTTTTGTCCCTCTGGCTTAAGATCCAAGAAGTGATTCATTTTCTTAAATGTAAAAAAAGGTTTTCTCATTACTTTAAGAGTCTAAGATCACTACTATCATACAGTACAATAAAAGTGATTGTAATGCATTGAAAATTACTAAAACACAGGTACGTTCTCTCTAGTGAGAACTTGTCTGTAATGGAAGTTGTAAGAGTTACTCCGCATTTCTAACTAGCAGTGCTGTTTTGGTCATTGGCCTCTGCACGTAGGAGATGACAAGTGGTCAGCTTCTTCCTCTCATTTGCTCTTTCATACTCTTGCGTTAATTCACCGTTTGGTCTTTCGTATCGGCTTCTCTCCTCCCTCCCTCCCAGTCATTCAGGTTATTCTTATTTTTGATGTTGACTAATTTCTGCCAAAGTGCACATTCATCCATTCATCATCTTCTTGACATTAGCTCTGTACATTACAAATACTTTTTCTCACAAGTGATTTAGTTTAGACGTTCAGAATCGTTTTGCTTTTTGCACTGAATGATGTGGATTAGGTGCCACCAGTCATGCCATTTTAACACCTGCTTGGGTAAAGTTGCGCGACAGGTAAAAAATGTGTGTAGATAGTGCATTGCATGCTTCGGTGAGATGGTTTCGAGCTTTAAGTGAATGTCTCTCGCTTCAGTTGATTTATCATCAGTGGTCTAGTGGTGAGTATGTGTGACTTCACACTTGCCATTCTCTTATAAATTTTATTTCTTTTCTGTTTATTTTGTTTGTATTAACAGTACCTAATGATGTACTGGTGTTCTTTTGTTAAATTTTTGTATGTTTCTGTATTCTTTTTGTCTCAGTGTTCTAATACACATTCTATATTGGGATTTTTTTTCCATGTTGATGATTTATTACACATAACACAGACATGAAATTATTTATGTTCCTATTAGCATTCTATTTCACATACATTCATATTTGTGAACAATATCAGACACACGTTTTTAGTTTTGCTAAAATACCTATGCAGTTGCACATACTCAGACTTAATATAGCATGTGTTGAGCTATGGATTTTCAGATATACATACATACTCACAACCTAATGTAAAGGAAAACAGAAGGAACATTATTGTTATTATCTTTTTATTTGTTTTTTTCTTCTTCTTTTCATTTTGTGGTTTCTAAGTATTATCATAATATCTGATACTGTCTGTTCTCTAATGGCTATTGTGTTAGATATTTCTCTCTGTTTCGAAGGGGACTTTGGACAATTCAAGAGAGATTTAATTGTCACTAGTGGTATCTCTTGATAAGAGATCATATAAAAAGAATATCCATTTCATTTTTTTTTTTAAGTTGCTTTAAATTTCATTAATTATTGGACTTTCCTCTTAGGTAATTGAGGCTTAGATTCAACCAAAATCATCAGCAACAGATTAGTCTTTCAGCGTGGTACAAAACTTTATGCTGAAAAATTGCTGGATTTTTATCAAGGGGGGAAAAGTAAATCCGTGTGGACAGAATTTTCTTCTCTTGGTGCACAGATAGTTTTATAAGATTGGATTCTGTATTTGCCATCATTATAGGGGAAAATGAAGGCTGTTATGGACACAAATTATCTTTATTAGGACTAGAATGTTGCTGATCTATTTTTCCTCATAAGAGAAGAATTAGAATATTGCTCTATGATTATCACCTGTTATTTCTTGCAAAATATAGATACTAGTTTACCAAATAGCTCACTCTTGTCTTTATCTTAGTCATTAGTATATAATACTATCTTCTGGTTATAGTTCTAGTTAAAATCATAGTGTTTCCTCTAGTAATGTTATTTTAGTTGAGATAATGATAATGGAATTATTTTAATGGGAAGAAATATATTTAGTTTTTAAGTAGGAAGATTTACAGCAACTTAGCCAGGCCTAACGTACAGGTACATAGCTTTAACTTTCCTCTCTCTTATTATGCTTGTGTGACTGCATGATCATGCAATCTTTGCTTTGCATGCAGTTAGATGCTACTTCTGTGGTCTGTGTCTATAGTAATTTGTTTTACACATTGTAAATGACTTGTAAATTCACTACAATGTTCTACTTTTTGGGTTTGCTATTTTCTGTACTATTCACATGTTGTCATTAATCTATGTTAACAGAACTTAGAAAATGTAGGAGTGAGGAGGACATATTTTGGGAATAGCATTTTTCTGCAAATTGCAGTGGGTAACTATACGATAACACATTCTTCACTTTTCCATCTCCCTCCCCTATGCCTTTCTCTTCCTCCTCCTCCTCTTCCTCTTCTTCTTCTTCTTCTTCTTCTTCTTCTTCTTCCTCTTCTTCCTCTTCTTCCTCTTCTTCTTCCTCCTCCTCCTCCTCTCTTTCTTCTCTATCTCACGTCTTTCTCCCAATCCTCATTATCTCCATTCTTTCTGAATAGCTTCATTCTTTGACTTTGTTTTTTTTACATTACATCTTCACAGCCACTTGTTTCCTGAACACTGTAGAAACTCAGTAGCTACTATAAACCATGCACTAACACAGAGAAAATTTTACTCTCTTAGTGTATGGTTTCTTGCCAATTTTTTTTTTTTTTTTCTCTCTCTCTCCTTCTCTCTCTCGGTCTGTCTTTATTATTTCTCCTCTAAATCTGTGCGTAGCTGTAACTTTTCTAGTAACTCTTACTTGTGCTCATGTGACTGTATGTGTGTTTGTCTCTTTTTTTTTTTATCTATTTTGTGTCTTCTGTGTCTCTTTGTGTTTCCTGGGCCATTGGTTAATCTCTTTACATAGCACACAATAGTACTCTTTTGCACTCTTTGTCAACGTATGTGTATATTCTTCTGTGTTTGTCCTCTTGTCCGTCTCAGCCTGATGAAATTTACTCAGAGAAGAGGAAAGATATGATGGCATCTGGATATTCAAATTTTAATCTTCTATCTGTTTTGGTGAAAGGTTTAGTTTTTATTGTTATTATTATTGTTATTATTATTATTATTATTATTATTATTATTATTATTATTATTATTATTATTTTAGGCTGGATAATTGGGTCAGGAAACAATGACTCAAGAGAACAGGGACAAGGCAGGAAGTTGTTACATTTTTCCTGAAGTTGAAAGACTACTGCTGTGTATATATGGCAGCTGCAGATTATTGAACTGGCTCTAAGCACTCACACACACACACATGCACACACATGCATGGACACAAACATACGCTCATAAATTTGTATGTGCATATATTTATGTAAGTATGTATATATTTATATATTTATGTACTTACATATGTATATATGTGCGTATACATTTTTATATATTTATATGGGAATATAGTTATATATTTATGTATTCATAAATTTGTTTATTTATATTACTATATCCATATATTTATATATTCAAATATTCATGTGTATGTCAGCATATACATATATGCATATATTGATTTATCTATGTGTATATATGTATACTGATAATTACATAGACATGTTCATTTTTTATTTAATCAACTCTTTACACAAACAGACAAGACCATATATATATATATTTTTTTTTTTTGATAGACTGAATGCAGACAATTAGTCTAGTAATGCATGAGTGTGATAGCATTTCAGTGTGTTATCTTATGTATATATATGTATATATATAATTATATATGATTATATATACTTATATATAGTTATATATAGTTACATATAGTTATATATCATTATGCATAATTATATACAATTATATAGTTACATATATACATATATACATATATACATATATACATATATACATATATACATATATACATATATACATATATACATATATACATATATAAATATATAAATATACACACATATACACACACACATATACACACACACATATACACACACACATATACACACACACATATACACACACACATATACACACACACATATACACACACACATATACACACACATACATATACACACACACATATACACACACACATATACACACACACACATATATACACACACACACATATATACACACACATATACACACACATATACACACACACATGCATACATACATACATGCATACATACATACATACATACATAACTACATACATACATAACTACATACATACATAACTACATACATACATAACTACATACATACATAACTACATACATACATAACTACATACATACCTACATACACACATACATACACACATACATACACACATACATACACACATACATACACACCTACATACACACCTACATACACACCTACATACACACATACATACCTACATACATATGTGTATATATGTATATATGTATATATGTATACATATGTATAGGTATATAAATATACAAATGTAAATTTTATATATATATATATATATATATATATATATATATATATATATATATATATATATATATATATATATATATATATATGTTTGTACATATGTATATGTGTATATATGTATATAATTATTTAGCAAAGTTATTTGCAATATTTGTATTTCTATTTGCATGACTGAGCATTGCAAACAAAATGTACTTCCTGGAAAGAATACTCATCATAGTAAATTATGACACTGCAGAAGTGTTACTAGATGCATGATTTAATTGAGTGCTTGCAATGTGATGCAACAAAATTTACATTAGTCGTCCCTCTTGCATGATGGGCGTTAACTGGACACTAACAATTAATTGGAGACACTCAGTGCTCATGATTTTCCACAATGTTTGCTGTTCAAAGGAATGAGCTCATTTTTTTGCCGTTTGTTATGCTCATCCTTTGTTTTTTTCAGTGGTATTAAAGGCAGTCATACATAGAAAACATGTTTTAGCTTATGGATTGCTGTTTTTAAGTAATGCTCATAACACCTCAAAGTTCAGGATTTACATTCATCTTTCCATATTGTAAGAAAAAGAAAGAAAGAGAAAAGTCACTTTGTATCAGGGCTACCTTAAGAGAAACTTAATTAATGCATATCACCTTGCCCAATCCTTACTCGACTCTTTGTGTCTCTTCCAGCGGTCCACAGTCGCGGCATTGGCTCCAGACAGGCATCCTTAAACTCAGTTAATGGCTCCACAACCAGTGTCAAGGATATTCGCATCACGGAAAACCCCCTACAAAATCCTACAGTTTGAACGACGCTTCGGTGATTGCGAGTCACGATCCGGGAGAAAGATGTGGAACAGTGTGTGATATGGACTATGGTGATATGTAATTTTTTCATCATGTCTCTGTATTTTTTATTTTAGCGACGACAATTACTGGAAGGTTGGACGTCATCTCAGTTGTTGCAGGAGGAGGGGGAGAGAAAGGCATTTTCTCTCGTCCTCCTCCATTTTGAGGTGAAAGGGAGACCAAAGAATTTTTCTTAACGTGGAGAAACTTTTATTTTACGATAAGTGACGCGACTTTTTATTGTTAAAATTTTGAAGATTATAGACAAAAGTCTTTGGTTTTCTTTCCTTCATGTTTTTTTTTTTTCTTTTCTTTTTTCTTATGGTTCATGACAAGGAAGACATTGTTTTCCCATGTTAACAAATTTGTTTAAATCTCAAAAGTATTTATAGGTAAGAATGGAATGAAATATTGAGTTGTTGGTAATTAATGTTTATTTGTTATGGGTTCTACATCAGACGAAGAAAACTGTAGCCTTTGTCACTGTCAGAGAGCACAGGAAGGTGCCACTAATCTTTGGTCCTCTGATTTCTGAAGGTTATTTAGCTTTTTATTGGCATCCTGCAAGCTAAATGATGAAATGGTAGAAGAGAATTTTGTTCATACAATAGAATATGTAAAAATGAATGTATGTATGTGCATGTGTGTGTGTATCATGTATGTGTATATGTAATATATTATATATGTGCAAAGTGTGCAATGTATCTATTATATATACATGTGTATGTATGTATGTATATACATTATATATATATATATATATATATATATATATATATATATATATATATATATATATATATATATATATATATACATATATACACATACATACACATACATACACACACATATACTGTTTGAGATGCTCACACACACACACATACAGACACACACATAAGTATATGAAATTATCGGTATTATATTTATGCTGTTGGACTTTTTTCTTTCTATGCTGATAGTGAGTACTATTTCCTGATTTCAACTAGCTGAGTCTTTACTGCAAAAGCCATCAGTAAAGCTGTAGGGAAGACAGAGACGTAATTGCTGTAGTCATTACAAGAGAAAGTAGTCCCACCATTGTATACAGTAGACCAAGTAGCACAAATTTTAATAATGCTACATGCTTAGTGATGCCATTTTCCTATACTTTTATCCTTCCTTTCTATCTTTTCTAAGACCAACACACTTTCCATAATTTTAAAGACGATCTTGCGTAGTTTTGTGAACTGGGTTTTATTGATTTTATTATTATTTTTATACGTTTCTTTTTAGAAGGAACTTGTTTGTTTTTTTAATTTTATTATTTTTAATATTGGACTAAAAGTCATGTGTTTAAGGATGTTGCAAAGTGAGTTAGGCACAGAGGACTGCACGTTCCATCCAATAATGAAAGAACTTGTGAAGTGGAGGCAATCTAGTCAAGTTTGATTGAAGGCACTGCAGCCAGAACTGCCTTGTTTAGGGGAAAGCTTTGTAAAAGAAGACTTCAATCTGTTTTTTTTTTTTTCTCTCAAAAGGTTGACAATATGCTTGCTATTAGGTAGACTTTGAGACAGGTGATTATATACATACATATATATATTTTATTTTTCTTATTCACTTAGTGTGTTACATCTGCGTGCCTAGTAACAAGGGAAAAAAGAAAAAGACCAGCAGATACTTTGACTAGTAGGGGCTTTTATGGAAAAGGGAAAATCCTGACCAAACAGATTCTCCCAAAGATTTTGTTGCTGTTCACATCCATTTCAGTGCTTTTGTAGTGAGCCCTGTGTCTCACCTTGGCTGGTGATGCCTAGAAGAGGGAGGATATGGTGGGGGGGAGTGAGTTGGAGGTGGGGAAGGGGGGGGGGGGAGACTTAGTAGAAAGGGTGCAGAAAAGGATGTTTCTTTTCTTCCTCTCTTTCTCTCTCTCTCTCTATCCCCTTCTTCCCTCTCTCTTGCTCTTTCCATCTGTCAAATCTTCATCATGATATGATATGAATTGAACTGCATTGGTGTATTACTGCGGCTTGTACATAGTTGTTATAAAATAGTGTTGAAGCTTTCTTATTATCATGATGATTATTATTTCTGTTTTGTCTCAGATTATGAAAAATGATTTGTCTCAGATTATGAAAAATGATCAAGACAGTGGCAGGTGTCACATAGTAAAAAGTTGTTAAACACCTCTTCTTTTTTTTTAAGGATACATCAAATATTGATACCAAATTGATCCATTCCAAGGTTAATATGATTAAAAAAAAAACCTCAGTAAAGAAAGGAAAAAAATGAGACCAAAATGCTGTAACCACCATAACTCCCTTTATATATATATATATAAATAGGTAGACCTGCACTTGTATATATATGCCAAATGTGTATATACTTTTTGGTGCCCTGAGGTGTCTTCTCCTGTGGCTCATGTATGTTAACAGTTTCTTACGGCGAAGGAAATAGTTGCGTTACTGAAGGATGTTGTTGTTATTGATTTTTTTTTTTTTTTTTTTTTTTTTTTTTATTGTTAGTCTGTTCCTTAAAGCATACAAACCGAATGCATCTTTTTTTAGTACATTAAATTCTTAAGGTTTTAATTTTATGTGTTAACTAACAGATTTAGGTATGATTATATATATGTGTACATGTATATAATATATATATATATATATATATATATATATATATATATATATATATATATATATATATATATATATATATATATATATATATATTATGTATTATCAAGTGGTACTTTCATCCATTTTAATTCTTATGTACTCTTTTGTTTATTGTAATATTAGGTATGAATAGAAAATAATTAAATTAATATTTTGGTTTGCAAGGGATAGACACTGCACCTAAGGCAGTCATCCCAGTCCTTGCAGAGAACATACCCTGTGCAATGATCAGTAAACACATATAATCACAATCTAGTGTCTTTGATTTGCAACCTATATTGTTGGGAGGGGAAGAGGGCACAGATATGAAGGAAAATAACAAGATAACAGGTGAATTGAGGGTCTTTTGTGTCACCTCAATCGATCAAACGGACTGAATTTTTTTTGTACAATTTCTCAGAAGATAACCTAATTTGCAGTCTCCTTTTAGTTCATACTGAGGAAAATGGAATTAGCCAAATATTGCAACCTAAAACAAAAGTGATGTTGATATCAAGAAAATGTACTGGAATCTAGAGTTAATTAATGTAATTCTTCTGTTCTGGAATGGAATGGGAAAAAATGGAATGAAAAGAAAAACAAAATAGTAGTAAAAATATTCACATTATATCAAGACTATCTTTACAGGATACTTTTTTCTGTTGTACTTTCCAATAATGAAAAAAATAAAACAGATATTTCCTAGCAGCTTCTATAATATTTTCATGTATATAAGAATTAAGAAATTATGTGACTTTCTGAGGAAATGCACACAAGTGATGCTGCTGCTACTGATCAGGATGAAAATGGTGAAAAAAGTTTTGTAGACTTTAAAACTACCATAAATTACCTTGTAAGGCAAGAAGACAAACTACCTACACACACGCACATGCACACGCGCACACACGCACACACACACACAATATTTATTTTTTTATCATTATAAACAAGTTAAAAGATTTCCTGTTGATTCAAAAATGAAAAATAATTAGCCAGGAGGAATGTGATTTTAAAAAATATTTTTTTTTTTAATAAAAAAAAAACACTTGATCTCTGATTCTACCCACATATATAGTTTTATTTATATTGTAATTCTTTTTTACAGATTTATTTATTAATTTGCTTCTATTTTTTTCTTATCGTGGTGGAGATGCACTTGGGAAGTTTATAGTCACTGGATGAAATCATTGTATTTGAAATAATTATCACCACCAATCTGTTACTTAGCAAACAAATGTCATTACCAATCTGTCTGTCAGTCATCAACAACCTTATACGTGGATCTCGGATGCGATAGAAAATGAAAAAATGAAAGAGTACAGGTTAGACTGTTCTTTTCAGCAGTTCTTCCCTTTTGTTGTATTTGCTATACTAAAGTGGCTATGTACAAGAGACCAAAATTTACTTTACTTTTTTACATTTTACAAACTTTGTTTCATAGATAGAAAATATTTGACCTAAGATGACTTGCAGTAGTGTTTCTTAGGTGTCACCAAAGGATGAGATTCTTCATCTTTGAACAGCAATACCATGAAAGTGAAAAAGGAATGAAACCGCTTATTAGTATTTCAAAGCCATTTTGAAGGACTCCCAGATCTGAATGATGAACAGCACCAACTCATTAGTAAAAAATTATGCCTTCACCATTATTCAGTGTCAGTTCCTATACAATATACTGAACGTTCATCAGAATGCCATTGATATCACCTGGGCTGACACTGGTGTTATGAGTCATTTCATTCCAGTGGAAATATTTCTTTAGCATGAATATTGACAATCATAAATACTGTTACAACCTTGAATACTTTCTCCTTAAAACATTATACTTACGTAAATAAAGAACATTTTATCATATGAAATGACATTAAGATAACTGTTCTTACAAAGGCTTGAATATTTTGGGCTTGTGAGAATACACAACTTAGTTAAAGATAAATGTAACGCATAAGTATTTCGGATAAGGGAAGATCATGAATATCATGAATATCAAAAAAGGTCAGATCGAAAGTCAGTGCCGCAGTATCCCTAAGACTGATTAGGTTGAAGCACTGGGGCCCATTAAAAGCAGGGATTAAGCATTTGCCTTCATAGTTTGTTTGATTTTGGCTCTATAAATACTACAGAAGCAAAATTAGGAATTGCTTTCACTTACAATAAATTCCAACTTATAGAAAGAGGTCGGCTGATATTGGAGGGTGGCTCCATTTAAGGGGGGGGGAGGCAAATTTCATTGACCTAGGGGCCCCAAAGGTTTTAAACCTGGCCTTGCGAACAGGTAAATCTCCACAAGGGAATGCTTATGACCGAGTAATAACGTAAGTATGTGCTAAATCTTTCCCTTTCCTTCTGCTTCCTTAGTGCATATCGAAGTTACTCTTCAGGTAAAATTTATTGGTAACCAAATGCATTAAATTATCAGTCTTCACATGGACAAATAAGGAAAGTAAGTAAAATGCGTCGGGTAGATTTCACATAAGTCTATCATAATAACGTATTGGAAACCTGGCATAATGTAATCAATAAACCTGACATAATGTAATCAATGTAATCAATACGTATCATCATTTCAGCTGATTTTGGCTCGTACAGTACATACCGCTTACCATAGTTAGTAGGACTAAGCAAATCTCAATAATAATTAATAACATCTAGTTTTTCGCAGCCC